ATATCGTTGCACCGCTCCTTTAAACCGCAGCACGCCGAAAGGCTCCAAACTCCTCGACACTATTCAACAGAAAAACTTCCCACTTTTATATACCGAATGTCCCACTCGCCATAGTAACTCTGTTGAACGTGACACCACGCCAGACCTCACCCTCCTTCGAGGAGCAAAGACCACATGGGCAAACACACACGGCACACTGATCAGTTATCATACCCTCAATGAAAGCTCCATACATGCCCCGCGTTACAAAATGTACGCCAGATATCACGGACGGGTATAAATTCCGCCAGGCTGCCAATCCGGGCCTATGTGACAGAATCAGCCTGAACGATCGGACGCAATGGGTACACGAACCGAACCCGAGCACACGCGCACCCTCCGACAGCAAAAAGGCGCCTTTAAAGCTGACAAACATCTACCTCATCTGTGGGAGGCCAGGTATGGTCTACTCCGCCGGTGGAAACGTAGCAAATGCAATTGCGAACTAAAACGGAGGTTAGCTTCGCTCAACAAGGACATTCAGCGACACTCCGACAGACGATTGGCTCGCGGGCTGCGACTCCCTCAGCAACAGACTTCACATTGGTTTGGCCTGGCACATTATCAGAAGTTTATTAAATCCTACTTAAACCAAGACCGTCGCCCGCACCTCTTTCAACAAACTTCTCGAGGGGTACACCTCTACCACACAATTATTCGAGGAACTACGCACCAAATACATTGCACCCACCGCCTTTCCCCAATACGCCGACTACACCAGTAGTAAACCTACAGACCCCCCTCTCGCAGCCGCCATTACTCTGACCGAGCTAAAATAGGCAATTGCTGAAGGTCGCGCCAACACGACACCTGGTCAGTGCCATGAAACGCACTTTTGTCTGGAATAAATGAATTCAGATTGGCTATTTACTAATAGCATATCGTTTAGTGGGCTAAAAGAAAGAACGTAGATTGTCAAAAGCCTGATTTTCGGTACGAAAATTTGAAAACACAGCGGACTATTTCGCACCTCCTTCCCTTCGTAAGCTCTCTGCCTTTTCATTATGATACATCCACGGAACAGAAAGCGCTCACCGGGCCCAAAACACGTCACACGACACCGTACCTCACTTATTCTCTTCACCCCCAAGCTGACCGTGCGGTGGAAGCTATGCGCTTGCCGTACCAATCAGCCACCTCATTTTCATTACCTGACTTCATTCTCTGCGCGTGGGCATGCGAGAGAGCGTGATCACGTGGCAAAAGTGTGGCTGGCCCAACGAGCGCGTAGCTTCCACAGCACTGTCTGCTTACGGATGAAAGGGGTGGGGAAAGCAACTTTTGGTCCAGTTTTGAGCGACGGGCTAATCTTGTAGGAGGAGAATGGCCGTGTCCGGGTACACAAACGAGGGTCCGAGCATAAGGGGAGTCCCTCTTTTCCGTCTTCTTGAACTGTTTGGTAGAGTGCGCGATTTGTGAGTTGAGTAGGAAAGCTTAAAGGAAGAAGTGGTGTAGACTTTCCATTTTTCCAGGGGGGGGGGGGGGGGGTGCTTTTCCGCGCAAGCGAAAAAGCATCCCCCCCCCCCCCCCCCGGAAGTACGCTGGGATTCCATTTCCCATGTATTTTGTCAATAAAGGCAACTGGGGCATTATTTTGTTTACATGCCACTACTAGAAACTCGTTACGTGGCACATAAACAGCGTCTCAGTAAGGATCATGACCCGGGCCCCGGGGGGGGCTCTGCCCCCCCCCCCCCCCCGATCTCACCAGGCGGGGCACGAGCCCCGATGCCCCCCCCGTAGTCTACGCCTATGCCTCTATTCTTAATGCCCTCCCTTCCTAACCCCCCCCCCCCCCTCTAAATATTTAGACACCCCCCAAATTTCAATTCCTGTGGAAACCCCTGCACCTCCCCAAGACCAACTTCACATGCCACAGTTACGTAACCTCGCTGATCCTGCTGACTACCCCTCCCTTCTAAATATTGTTACGATAGAACAAGACACGAGACGTCTGCTCAATGGCGAGGTTTTAATTCTAACTGGTCGCCACAGGCACGTGACCGATGACGTGGCCACGGCACCTGCGACAGCCTGTCTTTTTCTTCATCATGGCATTAGCTTTGGGGGAAGTGTAGGACGTCTTGACCGAAGAGCTTGGTTGCTGGAAAGGAATTAACGATGGTGCTGTGTGAATCGTGGGTGGAATGGCTTCATGCGAGTTACGTGAACAATGTCTGTTGACGGTCAAACACGGGCTCCAGAAGTTTGATTCTGTAGGTGACGTCAGAGGGTTGGGAGATGATTCTGTAGGGGCCAACATACCGATGAAGCAGCTTGGTTGCTTGACCTTGTTGTCTAGCTGGGACCTAAATCCAAACAAAGTCGCCAGCTGAGTAAGGGTTGAGTAGCGTTGTATCTTAGAGACTGTCTTTGTTGCAACGCACGAGTACGGTCTCGAGTAAGTTGGCGCACTTCCTGAAATAGTGGCTGCCATAATTCCGTTCTCGCATCGATTATTAAAATCCGTATTCGGACACAGAAAAACGGTGAAGAGGCCTGAAATATAATGGAAATGAACTGCATTGGCGTACTTTACAAGCGGCATGTAAAGATATTTCCGGGGAAGGCGATGTTAAGCGAGAATTAAAGAAAACGACAGGCAAGGCTTGCGTCTTGTGAGAAGAATCCGATGGAACGCTAGGTGCTTTCTGCCCCCTGAGCCGGTCACGTGACCAGAAAACAGGTCAGGCAGCTGTTTCAGCCGTCGGGAGAGCACTGATCAGCAAACCGACACTGGGTCTTGAACGTGCACCACGCAGTAATGATATACGATTGCACACCAGTACGGAGGTCATCCAGATTGAAATGATCAAGGGGGGGGGGGGGGGGGGGGGCTGTCATCTGGATAATCGTCCTAGAGCAGCAGTACGAGGTTGGAACTGCGACGCGGGAGTATTATCATTTTGTGAAATACGTGCGATATGAAAAGCCTTACTACATACTTCCACGTCAGGAAGGTGTAAGTAAGCACTTTTATCCTGAAAACGATCATCCACGAGCTAGGGAGCGCGATCATGGGGCACGGATCACGTGCCCCAAACAGCGGCCCGTTAACACGCTTCGATCACTGATCTCTCGGCACTTCACGCTCGATTCGAATATCACTGGCGTTGCGACTGGTCAATATGGCCGTTGAAGAGGGCCAATAAGGAGGGCCTGGTCGCCTAACGCGGCCAGTGCCGTAACAACGACATTTTATGCCAACACTGGACCCATATTCACGAAGAAATAGAAGGGCGTTACTGCCCAACGTTACTAGAACAAAGTCGGTTGACAAGCTTCCTATACTTCGTTTTACATGTAGTTTTACCTTAAGTCTGCAGACGCAGCCGATCGTATGCATGCTGATGGGACCAATCAGACAGCGTAATATGTGCACCATCATGATGTTCGTCAAGTTTGTGCGTATGTTCTACCGTGACTGGTCCAATCAGGTACAGGGAAGAGTGACAGCTCGTAGCGTCAGCTGCGTTGGGAATTAAGCTGAAACGAAATATAGAACGCATGGCGCCCTTTTGTGACCCGTGCGCTCGGTGGCGCTCGCTACGCTATCAGCCCGCCCAATGAACAGAAGCTGCGGAATCGGTGGAACGTTGGATGCAGATTACCTGCGGTGGAAAGAAATTCTATCGGGGTTTTTATGGTAAACATAAAGTTTCTGCAAAAATCGGCGCAAAGAAAGCCGTCGTTAGAAAATAATCCTTCTTCGTTGTCTATGGAGGCGTTGACGGCGGTGGCTCTAGGAACGCTATTTAGAACCTATATATGAGAGAGTTTGGTCAATGGGAGGAGCGGAGCGAGCAGAGCCAGGGCGTGCACTAGACGCAGATAGAGGGTTTGGTATGCTTTCTTGGCCAACCAGAAGCCGAAAAGAATCCCCTAGCGGTGGTAGCGATAAACAGCTTTAATAAGAGCTAAAGGATTAAATGTAGTAACTCTAAAGTATTCTAGTACACTGTAGTAACTCTTCATGGTTGAAAATATGGTGCACGTGATGTTTCGATTATGATCATGCAAAAAGATGTTAGAAACGAATATGCCACTCGAACTCTGTCTTGCTCGGACAGAGTGTGACCGTTCGGAGGGCAGACTCCCGGTCCTCGGCGCCTGGCGTTCTGATTATGTCGATTGTTCCGCTTGTCGCGCTCTTCCGCCATGATTTTGGATGACCGTGATTGAAACATCACGTGCACCATATTTTCAGTCACCGAGAGTTACTCCGACGCACTTATTAATTTCGTTTCTCGTGACCACCGCCAAAGCAATAGAGAGTTTAGCAGATCGTTTTTTCGCCCCGATAACGGCCCCCGATAACGATACGATGCATGCCCAAGGCCGCGGAGGATAAAGGAGGTATCGTTATCGGGGCGAAAGAACAATCCGCTAAACTCTCTATTATCTCCGGCTTCTGGCCTGGTGAGCACGGCCTGGTGAGCACACCCTGATGAATTAGCACCTGCGTGTTAATTCATCGTCCAGAAAGTGAGTAAAGCACGCCCCATGCGTACGAAAGCGGAAAAAGGTCAAGATTCCAAACTATAAAACGGAACAGTCACAGGACAGTTCGGTGCAATCGATCCCCGGCTCGATAACTGCGGTTCAAATCTTATGATGTTTACCCACGTGATACAACATTCCTCAGGTCCGGTTAGCCATCGATATGAATGGCGTCATACTCGAGAAATGTTGACATACATTGGATTTGTTCGCTGACAAAATCCGTCGTGCGAACGAGAAAAAAAAAAAATTAAACAAATAGGTGTTTGCGGTAAAGCGCAGGTCAAAGAAGCGATTTTTTCTACCCGGGTATCCTTAACATGCTATCAAATTCTGAATTACTGCTCACCAGACTGCGGGCACCTCGACCGGGCGTTGATCCATCTAACTAAGGATACGTAGACCAGCACTACATCCTAGGCGACACCATTGCTTGCGCAGTGTCACAATGATACAGGGAATCAACATAGGGGATAGAGGTTATTATTGGTGACAAGGGGAAATTGGTAACTGCTTCATTTCGTCCGACTGTCCCATTCGTTGCTCACCCGATACACAGTGATATCTCAAATCTTGAGCATTAATCTGCACGTTTCGTTGTGCAACGCCATTAATTTCTGAGCGACCGGGTCCATGTCATTCCGTAAGGCTCCATGTTTGGGACACCTGTTTTTGCAATGTGTTCGATGTTATGCTGAAAAAGCTTCTCAGACAGGCAGCCGGGAGATCGTAGGTTCCTGAAGGAACTGATTAAGGCAGCAAGAGAGATCTCGCAACGCAGTTTTGGGGTGTCAACTTAATGTCGGGTGTGCACCTGCCGACGCCTTGTTCACGGCCACCTAGGATGCGGCAGTGAGCGGATCGACAGCCTTCGTGTGGGCGCTGCGCGAAGGGTGCGCCGACGAAGCGCCGATGACGTGCGACTGCTTGCTCAACGCGTTGTGCAGTGGGTTGCCGAAATGCTCGAAGCCCTGGAAGCCCATCACGGGCTCACTGTCCTCGTCGTACGAAAAGGCGCCCCCGTAGCCGCGGCTGGGGCCTTGCACGTAGTAAGGCACGTGACTGGAACTGGCCTGATTGTCCGCGTAGATGCCACCCCGGATGAGCTGGAAGTTGCCGCTGCCGAGCGAGCCGTATCCCTCACTCGGGAAAGAGCTTGCCGATCGGCCGTACTCCAAGTCGCTGTGCGATTGTTTGCTGTACTGCCGGCTCATGCTGGGGTAACCGGAAATGGCCGACGCAAAGAGTGAGCCTCCATCCAAGAAGGGGGAATAAGCCATCTCCTGGCTGCCAAACGGTCCGGTGATGGGGACGAAGCCTGAGGCGGCCGCTGTGCCGCGAGTCGAAGCCATCGAGCTGACTGCAGACTCCGAGGCCGCCCGTCGAGGGACGCGCTTCCTGGAAGGCGCCTCTCCGTTGCGGGCGGACCGACGGTGTCCAGCCGCCGCCCGCCCGATCGGGGTGACCTCTCGGAAACTGGACAGGACACCGTCGTCAGGTTCGGAAGAGCTGCCGCGGTAACTCCTTCGAGCTTGTCCTTGCTTCTTGATCAGCTCTGGTAGAGGAGCTCTGGGTTGTCCACGCGGTGGAAAAGCCTTTCGAAAAGGTTTCCTCGAATTTTCGATCCCTCGACGTTGCAGCAAAAGCCTGATGTCTTGGTGCCGCAGGGGCCGCGGAGTGTGGCGGGGCTCTGACTTGGCTGCTGCGCGACGTGATCGCTCATCGAAGCTTGAGTCGTGCAGAAACTTCTGCCAATTTACACTCCTGGGCCGGAACGCTTCGGCGGCGGCGCCCGACACCATGCGACCCCTGATGCGTGCCGACGACGGACTCCAGGGAGACTGCACACTCCGCCTCCCAGGGGGCGCGTCCGGAGGCACGTGGGTCTGGCCAGGAGTCTGTTCGGGGACAGTCGCTGGACTCTGTGGTCGGAATTCACCTGCGGAAGAGAAACTCGTAAGAGCCGGAGCGCCAAAATCGAAAAGACTGACCAAAATGCCAAGCCAAACATGACACGCCAAGCGGCCACAATTAGCTTGACGGCAGGATATGTAACGTTTCAGCCGCATCCGGTTCATTTCGGTTATATTCAAGAGCACGTTTCTCGCATGCGATTTTGGGAAGTCTTGTTTAACTTTATCTGCGAGCGACGCCGAAGCTACAAGCCCGAACGTGTGGCCCTGCGCGATGAATGTTCTGCACATAGCCACCTCTATATTCACAAAGCCTGGCAGTTCGACGACGGAGCCATATATAGAGCGCCCGGTCGCAGATTTGGAGCGCGAGTATTTGGTAGCACAGAACATCAAAGAGCCATTTCTCGGGGAACCTGAGAAATGGCGCAGCGGCGAGGACCCGAAACACACTTGTTCGCTATAGTTTCGGCGTCTCGCTGCAGCGGGGTGCAAGTCCCGTGGCTTTCCTCTCATCCGTTGTCTGCCGCTCCATCTTTCCGTTTTGGCGGCCGCTTCTCGTGGCGATCTGCCAGACTTTGTCAGTAATCATGAGGCTAGAGCCACTAAATGAGCTGCGCTTAGAGTATCGGCACTCCGTTCCCCGGCATTGTTGTGGGCGCCGCCATTTTGGCTCGTATGCAGAGCAGACGCAACTGCCGATCGTCATGATTCAAAAGTGCGACTTCCTCAGCATTAGATTCGGTTATGGAAAGGTCACGCAATATTGCTTTGCTCTGTCACGAACTATTTAAACATTTGTGGAGGGCGGAAAGGCGTTTCCTGTGATTTCAGATAAAGCTTCAGATAAATGGCAACCATGATTTTACGACACAATATGGCCAAGTGTCGTTACTCTGAAGCGTAGCTTATTTAGTGGCACTACATGAGGCTATGCTCTGCACGAGCGCGCGTGCTTGGCAGGGACACTGAAAAATTTACAGCTCGCTCCTGTAGCACCTGCTATACATCCGCACTTGAGGTGAATTGGAGTGTAGAATGTGCTTATGGTTCAGGCCACAGAATGCAGCCAATCACATTCTCTAGTGCGGTTTTCGTTTTCTCATTGCTCTTCCGAACTGCCCAAACATAAAGGATTTGAAGAGGCCAAGGCCGCAGCTCATAAGATGCAGGCTCCTAAGCCCGCCGTGGCCGCCCACGACTGAGCCAATGGAATTAAAGGTACATTTCCACGGCAGGACGTGAGTGGCGCCATTCTTAAGGACTCGCTCGCAGCTATATTACAATTGGTGGACTAGTGCTCAATCATAATAGCGAGTTTTAGTAGACCGTGTTTCCCCCTCCGCTATCCGGAACTCTACAGCCAACGCATCGGCACGCAAGCGCAGTGGCAGTTCCTTCGTAGCGGAGGGCTAGCGGAGGGCTAGCGGAGAGGGAAACACGGTCTACTAAAACTCGCTTTTACGGGGGCGGGATCCCGCGGTTTTGTGTCTAAACAGAAACGTTTAGTTACGCTTGGCGGGTCTCTGTGTGGCGAGTCCCTAAGTCTGCTAAGAATCACTCTGGTGCGATAAAAAGGGCAGGCAAATGGAGCGCAAACAACGATTCCGGAAATAGTTGGCGCCCCCACCGTCATTACCAGGTATTATGGGAATTCGATGTATGGCACGTGGCTTCCACCTTTCTCTTCACACCCAAAAATAAACAAGCACAAAATCACTTTTGGACAGAAAAGGGGAACATAGTGTCGGTCGGACATGTTTTGATAAATTAAGAATGCAGCGAAAGAGGACGAACACAGTAGAGAGTATAATTGACGACTCTCTTTTGTGCTGTCTTTTTTGCGTTGTGAATGCATAGCATTACACAAGAAGGAATCGCGCGTCTCCTACATCCGAAGGCTCCGTCGTCCTGAACGTCGGGGCGCCCTACTTCCCCGCGCAGCGCCGTGGACGAGATACAGGCTCATCGACTCGGCTTCCAAATGAAGCCAATCGGTGTCAGGTTAAGCACAACTCCGCCTTCCGCCGGGCTTTGGTTGCGTGGTTGACCAAGTGTCATGGAAGGCAGAAAGCTTGCGCTATAGGCAGAGCACTTGCCGCATTCTTCATCATCACTGACTATATGGCGAGCAAGTTCATCTGCTCTTTGCGCACATCGTACGTTTGTTTACCCTCCAGATGAGCCCATGCGCTTTTGTTTTCCCGCCGACCTCAACCGATGATGGCGCGAGCTTGTCTGCTTCGTCGTCGTGCATTCCCTGCGTGTTCTCTGTGTTGCCCCATGATTGACGTGCTCCTCCTTGCGTTCCGATGCGCCAAAGAAGCATTTTGGAGCACTTGCTCGCCGTATAGTGTCTGATATGCTATAGCCACGGATACATTAAAGCGACCGTGTAGCGTATCGAATCGAGATATGACGACTTTGGCTGCATTTACATGGACGCGACCGCAGCGCATCGAATTGAGATATGACTATTTTGATGGGTAGAAGAGGAAGAAGTAAAGAGACAGGGTGGGTGTAGTTGGCCTCTGCTCGATTCGATGCGCTATACGATTGCATCCATGTAACGCCAGCCTGTCACTGGATAGAAGGGGAGGAAGCAGAGGGACTAGGCGCATGTGATTGGTTCCATGTCAATTCGATGCGCTCTTGTCGCATTCATGTAAACGCAGCCTATGTTTCTGCACTGGGTGGCTGGCTGGCAGATGCGTAAACTTGTACGCGACGCGTTGTATGTATCTACTTACTTTTTTTGTTACGCACTAACAACTCTCCATGAAAGGAAACGCATAACGGGATTTTCGTTACTTTTTAACCGAGGGACGAGTAACAGTATTTAGTTACTTCTTGAGAGGAACGTGTAGGAGACAAGTTACACAATTTTGTCTTCACTCCAACTCCTCAAGTGGCTATCACAACTAAAAAGCGCCGGGTACGCAATAAAAAAACAAATTCACAAAATATAAAAATATAGCCTCGCTTTTCATGATGAAGATCGTTTGGTAATCATCGCATGGTACCAATATGACAATGGTTGAAAATATGCTGGACGTTACCAAATATTGTTTCAGAGGAAGGCCTTGCAGGTTGGTGACCTTGAATTTCTTCGGTCAAATGTGCAATTACAGATAATGACAGTATATGAGGCGTCGAGTGAATGTCGGTGTAAGTTTTGGGAATAATATGGCGGCGTATAGGATAACAGGACAAACTAGAAGACGCCATTTTCTTTGCGCAAGATGAGCTCGTCATAAGTGTTTCCTTACAAAAAAAAAAAAGAAAGAAAAAAAAAGAAAGATAAAACACTTTAGGAACGTTTTATAGCAGTGTGTACACCAAAAGGTCATATTTGGAGTACCATGATGCAGGGGTGGAAGCAAGCTTCAGACTTTTCTAGCAGATCTGGGAGCATCAAAGACTTTGGAGCAGCTCAGGAAAGTCATGATTCATAGCAGGTTAGTAAATCTTGGAGCTGGTCACGCAGGTAAAACTTGAGGCTGTAGGCGCAGAGGTGTTTTTCTAAATACAAAAATATCACAACGAAAAAGTATATCCATGTGACGTTCCAGAACCATTTCCGAACATACCCTTTCCTTAAATATAATCCAGCTCATAGCATAAAAAGCAAACAGCCTAATTGTAATATACCCGAATGGCAGCTATTGAGAACTCTCCTGGTAGTGGGGAAGTTCCTCTTACGGATAGAAGGCATAGTCAACAAAAGAAGCACAACTTAACCCTCATTAATATAAAACGTTGTGCCTATTTCTTAAGAGTTCCATAAGTTAAAAACAAAACCACTTCAAGATGCAATGGTATCGTATGAAATATAGACCAATACTTACTGACTACAGGTTTTATAAATAGAAAATACATATGTTTCAAGTACCTGTGTAACAAACATAAATGCATTCCAATACTCAATTTAACAGAGTACAAATCTACTCTATTTGATGAAAGTACAAATGCAAAACATCGAAAATTTATGATATCATCCCTATTCATATACATATGCGCTTAAGCCCTTACTATGCATGACTGTAGAGAATAAACAAACAAACAAAAAGCTTGTTTAAGATTTTGATCAAAAAAAGTGAGAGACAAGCAAGCCGTTTTATGTTAGCAAGTGCGAACATAAAACGGCAGGTTTTCTTCACAAGTAGATTTTTTTTAATGCGTTCTAGCACAACGGTTTAGGGTTTGCGTCGCTCAGCAGGACATTCTCACTGTTCTCATTGTTCTCCCGCCGGCATGATGTTTGTTTGACAGCGCGTTTATTCGCCCCATACATCCTTCACAAGAAAGTTTACAGATGAGGCAACCAATTATCGCTTTTATTGGTACGCTTACGAAACGGATGAGGAGCGCGGAAGTGATCTCAGCAGAAACGAACACCCTAAACACTAACAAAAAAATATGTATATGCCAAATGTTTGTTTAATTTTGTAGAGTGCTTTTTACTTTCCCGATAGGTGAGCAGGTGCCAGCGGGCTCTGATGTACCTTTATATACCGTAAGGCCATGAAAGAACGCCCGATCAAAGTGATAAGACAAATAGTTAAAAGTATGGATTAAGCCATGTTACGGGATGCAACAGCAAAATTTTATATATAAGAAAATTAAAAAAAAAATGGTGATAAGCACGGGGAAAAAAAAAGGGGGGGGGGGGGGGGTTCTACAAATTGCGTGAAAAAGGAACTCTGTGAGTTTAATGTTTCCTATTCTTTCCCCGCCAGTCTACTCTGGACACTGCGCACTGTCTTTTCATTAATGATACCACAGATCGCAGACACTGCAAATTCGCGTTCCACGGTGAGATACGTGCGCGCGAGAGAGAATAAACTGTATTTAATCAGTTTTCTGAAGGGGGAGGGGCCCTTAGTCCAGAGCTCCTGTGGCCTTCGACGCCAAGCGGGCCCGATCCACCAGCTGACGCTGGTTATCCAGGCTGGAGCTGCGCAGCACGGCCTCCCATTGGGAAGGCGCAGGGTGTGGGATAGGGGGGTAGCGGGGTTTCGTTGGC